CCGTCATGCTCACACCCCGCCGACGACAGGTAAGTGCTGATTGAGTTTTTTTAGTTATAAACATATTACTTTGTCTATGCTCAGAATTAAGGATCAGGACTTTAGTTAAGATGCTCGAATAAGGTTCAGACTTTAGAGTTCGGACATGACTCTAGAATTCAGGCATTCAGATATGATTCTAGACGTTAGGATCTTCCTATATGACTCTAGAATTCATCAGGTTTCACGTCAGTATTTATCGGCCACTTTTAGCTAATCGTCAAGAGATCTGTGTGCCTTAGTAATCAGTCAGTAATGTTATCACGTATTCAGTAATGTTAAACTTTTCTCAATGTTCAGATGCCGCCCCGTAGGGAACCCGATTACCCGACTCTTACTCAAGCCACAGTAGTCGCACAGTTCCGCGACTATCATGTTGGGAAATTCTCCGGGCGGGGAAATCCCCGTATCATGGGCAAGTGGATTCAGAACCTTAGAAAAGGATTAAGTTTAAGAACTCTAGATTCAATTCTCGATTCACTCAAGTCAAGTTAGCAACTCGTCAGAAGATTTGTAAGCACTCGTGCTAAACAAATCTTAATAATCATGCTTCTCAAATATTTTATCGAGAACTGCCATTTTGTCAATCAATTGGCAGACTCTAGGGAGAAATTCCTTGATTTAATTCGAGGAATAGACTCAAAAGTTCCTAAGTCAAATCAGTAAGTCATGTTCAAGGCAAGAATTTTCATGTTAAAGGTTGTTACAATTCTCAAGTCATTGTTAAGGTAACGGTTTCCAGTGTATAAGAGTCAACAGTCCGGGTTACCATGGAGGCTTGAAATAAGAGCCACTCAGCCGGGTATACCATGGAGGCTTGAAGCTGAAACCGGAGCAGTATGATTTCATGTAACAACAATCTTTCAAGTCAGTCATGTCAGATATTTTATCAGTCATGCTATTTCATGTTATGATTTTCAGAGATCAAGATCAGCTAATTACTTTGTACTTGCGGGACCAGTTGATACTGGAACAGCCCTATACAGTACAGAGTTCATGTTCACGATTTACAGTTTATGTTCATGATGTAAGGTCGACGTATAATAGTTGTTCAGCCGGGTAAAATGTGGCGGTCTGATATACAGACCATTAGTCCAGATTTACCTGGAAACTTGAAGTCGCACCTTACCAAGTCAAGTAAGTCATGTTTTCAATCTCGAAGTGACTATTTAAGTTATCTCGGGATAGTTTTCAGAGTTCGAACAAAGATGATTCAGTCATGTGAGAGTCAAGTCATGGTTATTCAGTCATGAGAGTATTCAGGCCAGTCATGTTAAGATCGAGGATAGTTTGTCTAATAAGACAAGACTTATCCATCATTTTCAGTATGTCAGCGCCTCGATTCTCAAATTCTGAAGAATCTGAGAAATCGTGGGAGATATTAAGTCATGAGGGACTTCTTCTTGAGGTTAAGTTTAACCTCGGAGGGAGTAAAAAGTTGCAGGTACCACAGGTTGACATTCGACGCGATGAAGAAGAGCCAATCGACAACAACGGTTCGTGCCATGATGGTAAACCGACGCTTTCCATTCAAAGATGCCATGCCTGAGTCTCAGTACACTGGGAGATTGCAGAGAGAGTCTTCACCACCAGCATTTCGATTGGAGATCCGCCAGCAGCCAGGAGAGGACGACCAACATATTTCAGAGTTTCGTTTGAGATCATGTCTTATCAGTGGAACACTTTCTTTCAGAAAAGTGTCCATTTTCAGTAAGCAGTATTCTACAATTCACTTAATGGTGAATTGATGTATCTTCAGTTCAGATCAAGTCTTTTATTCAGTATTAAATTACTGGATTCTCAAGTCATGCAATCAGTAAGTATAAGCTTTAAGTTAATCTTGTACATTCCAGTTTTACTGTTTCCGAGGAGCTCAAGAGGAGATTAACTTCAGCACCGGTGTTGACTATTCCCGATCCTTCTCAGAGTTTCACTATCTTCAGCGATGCTTCGAGACAGGGCTTGGGATGTGTCCTTATGCAGGATGGCCAGGTCGTTGCGTAGGCTTCACGTCAGCTTAAGCCTCATGAACAGAACTATCCTACGCACAACTTGGAGTTAGCAGCAGTCGTTCATGTTCTCAAGTTTTGGCGACATTATCTTTATGGTGGACGTGCGAGATTTTCACAGATCATAAGAGCCTGCAGTATATCTTCACGCGAAAGGAGCTTAATATGAGGCAGCGCCGTTGGCATGATTGTTCTATTCAGTACCATCCAGGAAAGGCGAACGTCATCGCGGATGCCCTAAGCCGAAAGGTGAAGGGTGACTTGACGTACGTCATTACGCAGCAGAGTCCGTTGATTCATGAGTTTGCCCGGATGCAACTTCAGGCGATTGATGCACTTCCCATAGCTGTCTCGGGGAGTACCTGTGCCAGTGACAGTGCGATGCAGCTTCAGCCGACACTGAGAGAGAGAATCCGGCGAGAGCAGGCTTCTGAAAAATTTGTTCGTGTTATGGAGGCCAAGGTTCGCGCCGGAGGCGTCCAGTATTTTCAGTTAGGTGCCGATGGTGCCTTGGAGTTCAGAGGCAGGATCGTGGTCCCGAAGGTCGAGGCGTTGCGTAAGGAGATTCTATCAGAGGCACATACCGCACCTTACTTGGCCCATCCCGGGAGCACGAAGATGTATAAGGACCTGAAAAGGTCATTCTGGTGGCGAGGCATGAAGAAGGACGTCGCCGAGTTCGTCAGGAGGTGTCTTACCTGTCAACAAGTCAAAGCCGAGCATCAGAGTCCGATCGGCCTCCTGCAGCCACTGCCGATTCCGAGGTGGAAGTGGGAGGAAATCACTATGGATTTCGTTACGGGATTACCGAGGTCGTCTGAACATCACGACGCTATCTGGGTCGTGGTCGACAGATTGACGAAGGTTGCGCATTTCTTACCCGTTTCGATGAAGTTGCCTCTGGACAAGTTGGCTGAGATATATACCCGTGGGATCATCCGACTCCACGGAGTGCCCGTCACGATTGTATCAGACAGAGATCCCAGATTCGTCAGTCGATTCTGGCACAGCTTACATGAGGCGATGGGCACGAAACTTGAGTTCAGTTCAACCTACCATCCGGAGACGGACGGTCAGTAAGAGAGAACTATTCAGACACTTGAGGATATGCTTCGCGCTTTGGTTGTTGACAGGGGTGCTAAGTGGGAGTCACTATTGCCGTACGCCGAGTTTGCGTATAACAACAGCTACCATTCTTCCATTCAGATGGCTCCTTACGAGGCACTTTATGGTCGCAAGTGTTGTTCCCCTCTCTATTGGGACGACGTCGGAGAGCGACGAGTACTCGGTCCTAAGATGATCGAGGAAACAGCGGAGTAGGTCGAGTTGATCCGGCAGAGACTCAGGACAGCACAGAGTCGACAGAAATCTTCCGCCGATCATCATCGACGAGACGTTCAGTTCGAGGTTGGCGAGCCAGCCTTTCTCAGAGTTCGTCCGATTCGCGGAGTCGTGCGATTCGGGAAGAGAGGGAAGCTGCACCCTCGTTTCATCGGTCTGTTCGAGGTTCTCGAGCGAGTAGGCGAGGTCGCGTATCGGTTAGCCCTACCTCTCGAGTTATCAGGCATTCATAATGTATTTCATGCATCGATGTTACGTAAGTACGTGTGCGACCCCGGTCATGTCATCTCTCATACGGATATTCAGGTTCAGCTAGATCTATCGTACGACGAGCGACCGGTGGCTGTACTAGACCGTCAGGTTCGTCGGCTCCGGAAGCGAGATATTCCCCTCGTGCGTATTCAGTGGGATCGCCACAGAGCTACTTGGGAGGAAGAGTCCGCCATTCGCGCTCGTTTTCCAGATTTTCAGTTTTGATGTACATATTTCCTATCTTATGTACATAGTTCACGTATATCAGCTATGTTTTGAATTTCCGAGGACGGAAATTTTGTAAGGAGGGAGGATTGTATTATCCCGATATTTTATCGGTATAAATTATGTTTTAATTCCGATATAATAATGTTATCGTTTATTATTTTCGGAATTAATTAAGTTCAGTCGAGATTACCGAAATTTATTTCCGACGTACCGTCTACGTTCGGAGTTTGGCTTGTATCTCTGATACATCTCTCTCTTTTAATGTGAATGGAGCTCTGAAGGGGTACATCAAGGCTTCTAGGGGAATAAGGCAGGGAGACCCCTTGTCTCCTTACCTTTTCCTCCTAGTGGCTGAATGCTTTACAAGGCTCATTCATGCAGGCAAAGCTCAGGGCAGTTTCACTGGCGAAGATCTCCCTATAATGAGCTTAACTATATATACAGAAAGTAAACAGGGGTATACCCTTCAGTTCGGTCGAGGATTGCACGACGATGTGCGTGTGTGTTCGGTGCTCCACCTATGTCCTTATACTTCCCTTTTGCTTCGGTAATACTTAGATATTTTAGTGTGATTTTTCTAAATATTTTCCCTCACTATTTTCCCTCTTTTAGTATGCTGAAGTTGGCGTACATTTGTGCATGGAAATGCTTGAAAAAGGACGAACTAGCTCGGTTCTTTATTATGCCTCGCCCCATTAAGGTTGGTCCACGCCCGCCGGATCAATAACAAACAATATAAACAACAATTACATAATTCATCCTATGACCCACTCAGGAGCCGTACATGAGTTTCTATGAAAGCAATAAACTATGCGGTGTCCCACTGCGCGAATAATTTATTACAAGCATTCACTAACCCAAAAATTCCTTGACATGTCCAAGGCTTTAAAAACAGCATACATTCAACATGAATTAAAATCCATACATACGGGCCACAATAGTCGGATTCAAAAGTCCTAGGCGTGGCAGGATTAGGAGACGCGTGCGGGGAAGCGCACGCGCAAGAGGCAGGCGGCGGCAGCTGGGCGCGCACATTGGCGCGCGAGGGCGACAGACGCGCAAAGCCTATGCGCGGAAGGATTAGGCGAGACGGGGTCGGCGGGCACAGGCGTGCGAAACACGGCGCAAGTGTCCGCGCGCGACGAGGAATGCGAGGCGGCGTGCGCAACGCGTGCGACGCGTGAAGAGTAGGGCGGCCGAGAGTACTTGGGCATGAGTTTGGATTTTTTTGGAGTGCAAGCCAAGCAAAATCAAGATCTAGTCAATTTAGGACTTTAGATATTTAGTTTCCTTCTTGCACAATAGTATCTAGAATGTATAGGATATTTAATATTTTATTGCTTTAATATGTTTCCTAGGTAGATTAGAATTAGTCATAGTTAGGATCTATAAATAGGGATCATCCCCCATTGTTTTTGGGAGTCTTGGAATGGAATAGAAAAGAACGTTAGTTCAAACCGTGTGTTGAGAGTCGTGAGATTCGATCATACAAATCGAATTGGTGAGGCTAAGACCCGAACCAGTTCAACGATTTAGAGAGGCTAAGACCCGATCTATTTCACGAGTGAAACGAGGCTAATAACCGAGTCGATCACACCTATCGTCGAGAGCAAGGCCGTGGCGAAGCCGTGATCGAGACAAGTCGAGGACACGAACATCCGATCCTTCATCAGTGCCACTGGGCGCGCAACTGTGACTGGCGGGGCGCGTGCATGCGTCTGGCGCATCGCAGCGTCGGCCTGAGCAATGCCCCGCGCTATGTGCGCGGGCACAGGCACTACTGGGCGCTGCCGTGCGCCACAGCAGGTACTGGAGCGTGCACTGGGCAACGCTGGCGTGCATCGGGACTAGCTGGCGTGCCGCTGGCACTGCCAGCAACTGCCTCCGCGGACAGGCAACGCGCAGTGCCTCGCGGGCCTGTGCGCG